TGGGTAGACAGACAGACAGACAGACAGACAGACAGATAGATAGATAGATAGAAAGATAGATAGATAATCAACTACAAAGAGGTATAAAACAATACCTGGAAGCTAGGTGCCATGGTTGCTAAAAACTGGACACTTTCTTTCAGCTTTGCCTGTAAATAAAATGAAATAAAACAAATCAATTTGGCTTCGTGAAACTTCCATTCAAACAGAACCAGAAACACTATCTTCACTTTACTTAAAATTAAATTTATAGACCATAATTTAGACTCTCTGAATAGGATGCTTGCTCTTTCCCTTGAAGCACTTCTGAAAAAAGGAGTTTGCCTGATAGAATGTCACTTTCCATAGTCATGAAATTATGATTCTGATGATTAAGAGGCTGCATTTGCAAAACACACAAAGCCATTGAGAAATGGCCCACGCTTAGCATGGTATATGAATGAGACCACCAGGTCTTTCATTGACCTGGTTAAGAATGTTTTCTGAGCCCCTCTGTTCAGACTGCACCTTGCAGAATTCCTAACCAGAATGGCCACATCTAGAGGGTGGCAAGTTAGAGAAGGTTACTCTACAGTGTCCAGAAGATCTTCATGATCTCTGAAAAGCCAGGAAGTGTCCTGCTGAATCTCAAGCTGAGGTGCCTTGATGTGCTTCACTGAAGGCTTACCACAAGGGTCTCCATTGGGAAGACCATCTGGTTCTGGATTCTTTTGAGCTTCATGGCTTCCTCAGCCAGTCGTTCTGCCAGAGTTCTGTTGCTCTGCAGAAAACATCAACACCTCTGGGTTGGCTGGGAAGCAAGGATGGGAATTTGAGAAAGACTCTGGTGACTTGCTTCCCTCTCCATAAGGCCCCATGGCCACCCGTCTCTTCTGGTTCCCTACCTGAACATTACTCAGCCTCTCAAGGTCTACTGCCAATCCTTCAACATTGGTCCTCACCACCGGGTTGCGTATCTGCAAGAGAAATGATCACCTTTAACCTGGACTTATTTCAGCAATCCCTGGTGAGATCTCTTCATAATATTAAACTGACACAACAGAACGGTGAGCAACAACACTGGAAAAAGGAATGGCTCGAGGAAGGCCACCTAAAGTGTCTACAGGAGAAATAATATCTAAACTTGTTTCATAGTTTAGCTTCTTGATTACACCTGCCTTCTACTGCACTTTGCAACTCCCATGTTCCCCAACTAACATGACCAACAGCCGCTCTGTTTAGGACATTGTAATCTAACACATCAACTTGGAAGCAGACTGAGACCTGGAGTATATAATGTTAATTCCCTAGACTGTTTTGTCCCTGGTATAAAAAAGCTTTGGGATTCATAAAAGGAATTTATGTATTTCCACGTTTTAGAGCAATGCACAACATACTTCTATGTATCAAGGCACCTATCTTAGATTTCTATAGTTTTTTTATTCCAACAGTAAATACCTCTGCTGATCCCACATTGAGCTAAGCTATGGTCTGTTGAATAAACCAGAACTGACTGGCTTTAAGCATCATGCTAAGCCATGGTGGGCCAGAAACATATTCTTGAGAGATGACCAGTGACAGGCCCCTTACTGAATTCTGCTAACCACAGAGGTCAGAGTTACGTGACACATCCCTGCCTCCAGTCCCTGAGACGTGAGCAGGTCCTTTGGGCACCCCAGCTTCAACCCTTTGAGCCCCCAACATGCATATGGGCTGTGAGAATATCTTTGGGAGACAGGAGGAGGAGGAGCCGCAGCCTAGACAACGATCAGACAAGCGGTATCTCAGCCCACAGAAGGAATGGAGGTGTGGGAAGTATCTCAGAAGGGACCCTCCCTAGTTTTCTGGAAAGTCAGCTTGCAAGATTCTGTTACTGTAACTCATGGTTTCTCAACCTTGGGAACTTGAAGATGGGTGGA